CCGGGTGGGTGGGTGGGTAAGTGGGAGGTGTATGTGGTGAGTCAAGTCCCTGAAGGTCTTTGCTCTCCCTCATTAAGTATTGACTCGACTCCCTCATAACAGTCGTCAGGTGGAGACAGAGTTGATCAGGGTTTTACCGGTGTATGCTCTTAGATGTGTCGTCAGGGTGGATTATTTCTCAAGACCAGTGTTTATAGTGATACCTTCCTATAACGGACTTTTATATAAATCCGTTAGATGAAGGTTTCACAACTAACATACCTTCGATATAACGGATTTTCTTCTCCATATTAATATCTCATAAATAAATTGTGAGGTTAGGTTAGGTTAAGTGTCAGTGTTAGTCAGTTTAGCCTCAAGATACTGTAGGTTAGGTTAGGTTAAGTGTCAGTATTAGTCAGTTTAACCTCAAGATACTGTAGGTATACTGTAGGTTCTGGAGAGCACAACTGTTGATATTTAGGTCAGGGTGGGACGACAGCTGAGGGAGGGTGGTTCTGCTGTCACCCTCCCTGGTTCTCCCTCACCCATCAGGCACTCCTCATCCATCAGGCACCCTCAACATCTGGTACCCCACCTCCTGGTTCTCTCCTCACCCATCAGGCACTCCCTCATCCACTGTGCACTCCCTCAACCATCTGGTACCTCACCTGGTTCTCCCTCACCCATCAGGCACTCCTCATCATCAGGCACTCTCAACCTCTGGTACTCCTCACCCACCCTGCCTGTGTGTGTGTGTGTGTGTGTACAAATAAATAGTATTAATAATAATTAACGGTTTATTGAAAGAGCTTACAGTCAGAAGGCTGAAAATATATGTAGTTATATTTTGGGGAATGGGTTACGAATTTACAAGATAATATGTACAAGTGACATAAGTGACACAAATAAGACATATATGTAACTTAGGATGGGGATCAGTCAAAATACAGTTCATTTTCAAAATATTGTGACAGTGTAGGGAGCAGTGTTTACTGTGTGTGTGTGTGTGTGTGTGTGTGTGTGTGTGTGTGTGTGTGTGTGTGTGTGTGTGTGTGTGTGTGTGTGTGTGTGATTAAAATCACATCACAGACCTTAATTAAAAAAAAATACCTTCTTAGGATCACTTCTCACCTGCCAGAAGAGTTGACCGCGAGAGACAGGTAGGAGGACTGAGGTTAGGTTAGGTTAGGTTGTGACGGAAGAAGGTGGAGGCGGTGGTGACGATGGTGGGACGGTGGGTGGAGAATGTGTTTGGGGTGAGAAGGTGTGGGTGATGCAGGAAGGGTGTGGGTGGAGAAGGGAGGGAGTGGGGTGAAGGAGGAGGGGAGGAGGGGGTGGGGTGGAGGAGAAGAAGGGGAGGAGGGGGTGGGGATTGTGGGTGGAAGAGGGAGAAGGGGTGAAGAAGGAGGAAGGGGTGGGGGTGGAAGAGGAAGGGTGGGAGTGTGGGTGCAGGAGGAGAAGGGTGTGGGAGTGTGGGTGGAAGAGGAAGAAGGGTGTGGGGGTATGGTGGTAGCAGTAAACAGAAGGGAGGAGGGAGGGAAGGAGTGGGTGTGCTTGTGTTGGTAGCAAGAGCGCCAGGCTGCCTCACTCTGGCCGCCACACACCACTAAAATTAACCTGGTAGTTGTGTGTGGAGGCGCATTACGTCCTGGTAAACACACACACACACACACACACACACACACACACACAAACACACACAGTCATCCACCTCTCCACACGACAAAGAACTCACATGTCTGGGTTATCCACTTCTCCACATCATGGGTCATCCGCCTCCACACACTCAACATCCGCTTCAACATTTCCACCCACCGCGGACAGACTCCTCAACCTAAAGGGGTACAGGAGTATGGTAGTGCCCTTCCCTTTCTCCCCCACCTCCTCCCCCCATCTACGTATACCTAGGAATCATACACATCTTTTGTATACCTTTTAAAGAACAGTGCAAATGATACCAAAATACTCACCTGGAGGCTTTTTTTTATTATTATTATCATCATCTTCTTCATCATCTAATTTAAATATATAATTCTACAGCAGCTCGCAGTGGCTTGAAATATTCGTCCCTCCGACAAGGATTTTGGCGGAGGAGACATTTCAGGTTCACATCACTTATTGTATTTCCACCCGAGTCGTAAAGGTGGAGGGTCAAGGTTAACGCTGCTGGGATATATATTAAAATAAAGGCTCAATCCACTGGTCAGCGTTGTGGGCTTTTTGGGTCAAGACACTGTGGAGGTGGTGGTGTACTGTGAGGTAAACAAAGCGGGTGGTATTGTTGGTGTATAGTTTACACTCTCAACACTACCGCGGAAGGTGTTGGCAACAGGTGTGTGTTAATGCCAGCTTATGACATTGCAGGAGTGGTGTGTAGATGAGCGACACAGCATTGTTACGGTAACCTTGCTGGTGTGCACTGCTGTATTGTTTGTTACTGTTGTCACCTGGCAACCGAGGATGAGTGAGTGTTGTGTTGGAGGAGAATACGAGGTGAACACAACAACAACCACCACCACAATATCTAACCATGTATGAACCGAGTACATTTTTAAGAGTACTCGGCCTCAGTAGCTACCCAGAAGGCTCAGTACAATATTAAGAACATAAGAATGGAGGAAACTGCAGTCCCATTTACACCCAACCCATATCACTCATATATCCATCCAACCTATGTTTGAATCTACCCAGCGTATTCGAGTTAATGATGATATTTGGTAACTTGTTCCACTCATCCACTACTCTGTTTCCAAATCAATGTTTACCTATTTCGCGCCTAAATCTAAATTTGTCTAATTTAAACTCATTGTTACGAATTCGCTCCTGGTTGGATAGTTTGAGTACCTTTGTAATGTCCCCTTTGTTCAGCCCTGACTTCCATTTATACACCTCTATCAGGTCGCCCCTCGCTCTACGTCTCTCGAGGGAGTGCAAATTAAGATGCTTTAACCTGTCTCTATACTCAAGGTTCCTAATGCCCGGGATTAGTCTTGTCCTTCTCCTCTGAATTCTTTCCAAGGATTCTATATCCATTCTGTAATACGGTGACCAGAATTGAACTGCGTAATCCAAGTGAGGTCTCAGACAGGGAGAAGATATTCACACCAGTACTTCATTGAGTCCAAAATAACATCAACAACAACAACAACAACAACAATACCTATATGTTGTATCTTGGCTATGCTATATGTTGCTATATTGATGATAATTGTTACTGCGCCTTAGTCTTTCACACACACACACACACACACACACACACACACACACACAGAGGTTGATTCCTAGCCTAAATTTAACTAACCTCCTTGAACACACAATCACGAATTTCATCCAATGAGTTTTCCTAGTGAGTGACGCCAGACCTAGTGAGTGACGTCATACCTAGTGAGTGACGTCATACCTAGAGAGCCAACCTATATATGCCGGATGTGACGTACAGTATTATCCACATTAGTAATTCTTCGGTCTTGTGGATATTAGAGACGGATGTTATAACGTATGGATAGTGATGGGGAGAAGGATATTGTGGGAATTTTTCTTTGTTTTTTTTTATGGCCATTGGGGATATAGTGACGTGTGTGTGTGTCCTTTGGCTTATCACCATCACCACTACTACCACTATCACCACTACTACCACCACCACCACCACCAGCAGCACCACTACCTTACACTGTCATCAGGTTCACTCTCTCTCTCTCGGCATTCTTTTATTATCAGTGAGTCGAGAGTCCTGCCAACACCTCCCTTCGTCATCGTCTTCGTCATCGTCTCCTGTGGGGGACTATCATGGAACTGTACCCCAACTTTCAACCCCTCACCCCCCACTCACCCCCCACTCACCTCACCCACCTTCACCACCCCTACCCCCACCCACCCCGACTAGAATAATATTGTTGTTGTTGTTGTTTTCAAAGATCACAATATAAAACTCGGTGAATTTTCTTGAGCTACTGAGTTGTATATGGAGCGTCGAAGCTGAGGTTAGTGAAGCTAGTGGTGAAGTGAGTGAAGTGAAGGTGGTAGTGACGTAAGTGAAGCTAGTAGTGAAGTAAGTAAGTGAAGATGGTAGTGATAAGTGAAGCAGAAGAAGGAAGCTAGTAGTGAAGTAAGTGAAGCTAGTAGGTGAAGTATGTGAAGCTGGTAGTGAGGTATGTGAAGATAGTAGTGAAGTAAATGAAGTTAGAGATGATAAGGTGAATGTATTGTTTTGTGGGGCTGTGGTCGGGGTTGTAAGGTAACATTGGTAGTTGTTGTTGTTGGTTGTAATAATAATAATTAACGGTTTATTGAAAAAGTTCTGCGGCCTGAAAGCTGAAAATATATGGACATAAATGACTTATTACATACATTGGTGGTAAAGGAACATGCAGATAATGTTGGTGTTGAACAGCAAACACTTAGTGTAGTAACTCCCTCCCTGATGGTGTTAGGAGGGACCTCACGTGGTGTAGTACTTCCCTCCCTGATGGTGTTAGGAGGGACCTCACGTGGTGTAGTAATTCCCTCACAGATGGTGGTGTGCTTGTAGGGTAGTAGTTGTGGTGGTGGTGTGATTGTAGGGTAGTAGTTGTAGTGGTGGTAGTTGTGGTTGTAGGGTAGTAGTAGCGGTGGTAGTATCGTGCATTATGCTGCTGTTTGGATATATACTGTATATTTAATTGGTGGTGCAAGCCGAGGGAAGGAGAGAGAGGTAGGCATACTGATCTGTCACCACGCCGAGTTGAGGAGTTCTTGGCACCAGCAACACTTGCTTATGGCAGTCCATCCAAGTCTATGACGACGTTACTCCAGATGATTGATGAGTTATGTGTTATTCCTCTGATGCCACCGTAGATGACTAATGGAGTCCAATCCTGAAGGCGCAGATCTTGTTGCATTGGTGACAGGGATGTTGTTCATTGAGAGGAATTATGCCTTGAGCCCTCTGATGTTGGGCTTTTTAGTAGCCTTTGGCTCAGTGAGGTCTCAAGTGTTTCCGCTCCTCTGTGGCATGTTGAGCGATAAGGAACGGTCTGAGGCTAGTTGCTCCAGTGGATTTGGTTGTATATTACAGCACTTGAGAAGAGTTTAGAGTGGTCCTTATATCTCTTTTCCTGTCCTCCCACTGAGCGGTTTCCATGTGAGAGCTTGCCATATAATATTTGTCTTGGAAGCCGGTGGTCTGGCATCCTGATAACATGTCCAAGCCAGCACAAGTGTCTTTTGGCTAGCATGGTTTCAATGCTGGTCGTGTTTGAGCGACGATATAGTTCTTCACGAGTCACTCTATCTTCCCAGGATATTCCAAAGATACGCTTAAGGCATCTAGTGTGGAAGTTTACCAGCATTTGGATATGGCGTCTGTAGGGCGTCCAGGTTTCTGAGGCATATAATAATGTAGATATACAGACCGCGAGATAAACTGTGGTCTTCGTTCCATATTTGAGGTCATTGTTGAGAAAGACTCTTGTTCTCAAACGTCCAAATGCAGCTGAGGCTAAATTGATTCTGGATTGAATTTCCATATCCAGTGAGCAGGTGGGTGTGAGAGTGCTACCAAGGTACTTAAACTGGTTTAATATTTTGATAGGATCTCCATTAATGTAGAATTGTGGTGCTTCTATTGGTGATCAATGGGCTGGACAAAATCTCAGTTTTCTGGATGTTAATTGCAAACCAAGCGAGCTGTAAATACCTGAGATCACGTCCAGTGCACGTTGCATAGATTCTCTGTTATGTGTCATTATTGCACAGTCGTCTGCATACTGTAGTTCTATGACCTGAGTTGTTAAGGTCTTTGTGTAGGCTTCCAGATGTCTAATATTAAAAGGCTGCCGTCAAGACGGTACCGTATGCCCACACCTGCATAAGGCCCAAGGGCCTGATGCATCTTAACTAAGTCTTATTTCGTCTCCTCATCGTTCATCCGTATGTATGTCTGTTAGTCCTCATTCATTGTATCATCTCACCCGTCCCTCACCCCCCTTGACCTGACCTGACTTACTGCCGAACATAAGTGCCGTCACGACATACAGTACATATCCTTGGCAACATCATTGATTTACACCATTTCGCCCTCCAAGTCAACCTGCCGCACCCACACTGACTTACCTCCTGCAGAACAATTAATCGGTATCTTTACATTATTGAAATTTTAGCTGATTATAATTTGGCGTGTCTGGAATACCTGATTATATTTTCGATTTTTATTTTATTTTGATATTTGTTTATACCGGTTTAAACCTTTAATTAAATTGTTTGATTATTTTCGTTGTTGTTGTTGTTACTGTTTTTGTTTTATCCCTCTTTAGCTTCGTTGTTCTTGATACTGTATTTGTTGTTGGTGAGTGCGGGTGGGTCTCTCTCTCTCTCTCTCTCTCTCTCTCTCAAGAGGGCGACATGCTGCAGGAGTCAAGGGCACACTGCCAGCTGAGTGCGTCAGTGTGTCTTCCCTGGCAACATGCTCAACAAAGAAAGAAAGAAAGCAAGGAAGGAAAGGATGAGCGAGAGAGAGAGAGAGAAAGAAAGAAAGCAGCTAAAAACACCGCAAGGGTGAGTCAGCTTGAGATATAGGTGAATAAAAGTGTGTGTGTGTTATGTTATGTTGATGCTCTCCAGTTATTATTGATTTTGGTCTTCCTTTCACACACACACACACACACACACACACACCTGTTCTGAATAAATTATATATATGTAAGAGTTAAGGAATCCTAAGTGGCAGGAACATGATTAATCTGTTTATAGAAGAAATAATTAACATAAAATCTTATAGTCTAGGGTGAATGTGTCTCCTTAGGTAGTTAATGTGTCTCCTAGGTAGTTAGTTAATGTGTCTCCTTAGGTAGTTAGTTAATGTGTCTCCTTAGGTAGTTAATGTGTCTCCTTAGGTAGTTAGTTAATGTGTCTCCTTAGGTAGTTAGTTAATGTGTCTCCTTAGGTAGTTAGTTAATGTGTCTCCTTAGGTAGTTAGTTAATGTGTCTCTGGTAGTTAATGTGTCTCCAGGTTAGTTAATGTGTCTCCTTAGGTAGTTAATGTGTTCCTTAGGTAGTTAGTTAATGTGTCTCTCTAGGTAGTTAGTTAATGTCTCCTTAGGTAGTTAGTTAATGTGTCTCTCTTAGGTAGTTAGTTAATGTGTTCCCTTAGGTAGTTAGTTGTGTCTCTTAGGTAGTTAGTTAATGTGTCTCTCAGGTAGTTAGTTAATGTGTTCTTAGGTAGTTAGTTAATGTGTCTCCTTAGGTAGTTAGTTAATGTGTCTCTCAGGTAGTTAGTTAATGTGTCTCCTTGTAGTTAGTTAATGTGTCTCCCAGGTAGTTAGTTAATGTGTCTCCTCAGTAGTTAGTTAATGTGTCTCTTATAGTTAGTTGATGTGTCTCCTTAGGTAGTTAGTTAATGTGTCTCCTTAGGTAGTTAGTTAATGTGTCTCTAGGTAGTTAGTTAATGTGTCTCCTTAGGTAGTTAGTTAATGTGTCTCCTTAGGTAGTTAGTTGATGTGTCCTCAGGTAGTTAGTTAATGTGTCTCCTCAGGTAGTAGTTAATGTGTCTTTAGTAGTTAGTTAATGGTCTCTCAGGTAGTTAGTTAATGTGTCTCTCAGGTAGTTAATGTGTCCCTTAGGTAGTTAGTTAATGTGTCTCCAGGTTAGTTAATGTGTCCTTAGGTAGTTAGTTAATGTGTCTCCTTAGTAGTTAATGTCTCCTTAGGTAGTTAGTTAATGTGTCTCTCAGGTAGTTAGTTAATGTGTCTCTAGGTAGTTAGTTAATGTGTCTCCTCAGGTAGTTAGTTAATGTGTCTCAGGTAGTTAGTTAATGTGTCTCCTTAGGTAGTTAGTTAATGTGTCTCCAGGTAGTTAGTTAATGTGTCTCCTTGGTAGTTAGTTAATGTCTCCTCAGGTAGTTAGTTAATGTGTCTCCTTAGGTAGTTAGTTAATGTGTCTCCTTAGGTAGTTAGTTGATGTGTCTCTTAGGTAGTTAGTTAATGTGTCTCTGTGTAGTTAGTTAATGTCTCCTAGGTAGTTAGTTAATGTCTCCTTAGGTAGTTAGTTAATGTGTCTCTAGGTAGTTAGTTAATGTGTCTCCTTAGGTGTTAGTTAATGTGTCTCCCTGGTAGTTAGTTAATGTGTCTTAGGTAGTTAGTTAATGTGCTCTCAGGTAGTTAGTTAATGTCTCAGGTAGTATGTGTCTCCTTAGGTAGAGTTAATGTCTCTCAGGTAGTTAGTTAATGTGTCTCCTTAGGTAGGTTAATGTGTCTCTTAGGTAGTTAGTTAATGTGTTCTTAGTAGGGTTAATGTGTCTCTCTAGGTAGTTAGTTAATGTGTCTCTCAGGTAGTTAGTTAATGTGTCTCCTTAGGTAGTTAGTTAATGTGTCTCCTTAGGTAGTGAGTTAATGTGTCTCCTCAGGTAGTTAGTTAATGTGTCTCCTTAGGTAGTTAGTTAATGTGTCTCTCAGGTAGTTAGTTAATGTGTCTCCAGGTAGTTAGTTAATGTGTCTCCTAGGTAGTTAGTTAATGTGTCTCCTTAGGTAGTTAGTTAATGTGTTCCTTAGGTAGTTAGTTAATGTGTCTCCTTAGGTAGGTTAGTTAATGTGTCTCCTTAGGTAGTTAGTTAATGTGTCTCTTAGGTAGTTAGTTAATGTGTTCTGGGGTAGTTAGTTAATGTCTCCTGAGGTAGTATGTTCTCAGGTAGTCCTTAGGTAGTTAGTTAATGTGTCTCAGGTAGTTAGTTAATGTGTCTCCTAGGTAGTTAGTTAATGTGTCTCTAGGTAGTTAGTTAATGTGTCTCCTTAGGTAGTTAGTTAATGTGTTCTCTAGTAGTTATGTGTCTCCTTAGGTAGGTTAGTTAATGTGTCTCTTAGGTAGTTAGTTAATGTGTCTCTCAGGTAGTTAGTTAATGTGTCTCCTTGGGTAGTTAGTTAATGTGTCTCCTTAGGTAGTTAGTTAATGTGTCTCCTAGGTAGTTAGTTAATGTGTCTCAGGTAGTTAGTTAATGTGTCTCCTTAGGTAGTTAATGTGTCTCCTTAGGTAGTTAGTTAATGTGTCTCCTTAGGTAGTTAATGTGTCTCCTCAGGTAGTTAGTTAATATGTCTCCTTAGGTAGTTAGTTAATGTGTCTCCTTAGGTAGTTAGTTTTAACTTTTTTCTCACGAGTCTAATGATGTTAAGGTTTAATATATGTTAATACTGAGAGAAATTAACCTAACCTAATCTGACTTAAATTAACCCAACTTAATCTAACTTAAGTTAACCTAAAGTAAACTAACTGAACCTATACTGAACTAACCTAACCTAACCTAATCTCACCTATATACGGTAGTTAAGCTGGGGTGATTAATCTTCACGTGTTGGTCTCGGTGTTCCAGCCAAGGTATTACTTATAGTGAGAGCAGTACAGTAATAACTCAAACGGGGCATCAGTCGAACGCTCCTTGAGTTAGCATTAGAAGAATTACGTGTTGCCAATAACAGTAATAATAACAAATAATAATAACAAATAATAAGCATGACGACGGGAATAACAATAGTAATAGTAATAATAGAATTTACAGATGCCATTGCTCTAAGGTACGGTCGGCCAGTAGGTTGCCCTCCCAATGCCTGTGTGGCTCTTCCTATGATGGCGATCACGCCATGGTGTGCAAGAAGGGGTTTATGCATGAGGCATGACGAGGTAGGGACTCACAGCAAATATATTGAAGGAAATCTGCGATGTCATGTAGAACCGACCTCCTTCCATTGGATGGTGAGATCTTCCAACACAGGACTTCAAACACATCTAACGAAGCCCGTGTGGACGTCAGTGCTCGAGGATTCTGGACGCGCGGACAGCGAGCCGACATCAGGATTTGATCCCATGGCCGTATGTCACCGTAACCTAGCTCTCGATGCTGCACATAGGAGGAACGAGAACGACAAGATAAGGGCATATGGGGAGAGAATCCAAAACGTTGATCAAGGCAGCCACTCCTTTAGTGTTCACAACCTCTGTGGGATGGGACCAAGTGCAAGATGTTTCTACGCCAGACTCGCGGAGGTGATCTCCGAACAGAAGCAGCAGCCCAGAAGTTATGTTCCAGCCTGGATGAGATGTCGACTGTCTTTCTCTCCTTCGGTCGGCTTTGCTCTGCCTCAGGAGCGAGAGCTTCTGCCCCAACTCCGACAACTGCTGCAGATATCGACTATGAGGCTACAGTCACTGAATGCCGCATAGATCTGCGGCTCCACTAATTTAACACAGATAGGATAGCTACATATGTATTAGGATATTTAATATTAAGGTAATTAAATGGTGGCGAAGGTGTGGCTATTGGGGAGACTGGACACGTCCCCCCAAATAATAATAGTAATAGTAATAATAATTATAAACACAGATAAACTTCCTAACTACACCTATCACCGTATGTTTACAATGACACACAGTTGAGTAGCTTATACGTGTATACAGGGACTGAGCTGTGATAACATGTATACAATGGTGGAAGTGAGTAGTGAAGATAAGTATACCATGGAGGAGAGGCTGCAGCTATCTCTGGTGGTCGTCTATACACACGCACATATATACATACATACATACACATACACAGCAGGTGAAAGTGTAAATATTGGCTACCTGGCTCACTCTTCCTGCTTACATAATACGTACCGAGGTCATGCCATACCTGTCTGTCTGTCTTTCTGTCTGTCTATACACGTGATGAGGTTAAGCTGTTGGTGTGTGGTGGTGGTGGTAGTTGTTGTGGTGGTGATGGTGG